CCTTTAGTTCTAAAACTTAACTCCAGGGCATTTTGTCTGCTTACTCAGTAACAGGCAAACTGTCTGGTTGTTTAATAATAACTTTGACAAAGTTCAGCATAGGCAAACTGATGTTAACACAGCATTTATCTCACTATGTTTTTGTAACTGGGTCACATAATTGCAGTGCTAGTTGGGTTATGATTCAGCAATTTTCCCTTCTTCACTGCCACTGACCTGATTAGGTCCCATATATCTCTTTTTATTTGTTCATATTTTTATATTGACATACAATTTTGTGTTATGTAAATAATGTGTCTTTGCTGCTAACATGCTGCTGACCTGATTAGGTCCCATACATCCCTTTTTATTTGCTCATTGTTTTATATTGATTTATACAATTGTGTGTTATGTAAATAATGTCTTTTAAGCCGCGAACTGCCAGAAATAAATTTATTGTGCTATGCATAATGACAATAAAGATTCTTGTCTTGTCTCGTCTGGCTCTGTTGGTAGTCTCTACCTACTCCTGTGGGAAATATCTTAGATTTCATGTCCTCTGCCTGTGCGCCCCATGTGTGGAGGAGCTCTGCCCTCAGGTCAAACACCAAATCTGTATTTTTCAATTCACTAATCTCACTCACTGGTCTCCTCGTTCTTCGAAGTGATATACTCTTCCCTTTCCAAATAGTTAAATCTAAATGTGGAGTGTCAATGTGCTCTTTCACAAACTTCAGGTGTGCAGCAGTGTTCTATGTATTGTATACTCATGAACATAGATGTTATTCAATTCCAATGATGCCTTCAAATCTGGCTGTCACTCGAGGTTGTTTTTTTTTTACCGTAGAACATTCTTGACCATAGATCTTCTGAAAGCTGTTTTTGGCAAGGCATGGCTCACGTAAACATATTTTTCTTGTGTGGAACAAACTCAAAAGGTTTGAGTGGTTTTTATCAGTCAAAGTAGCTCTAGTCCACACCTCCAAACTCATTTTCTTAACAAGACTCCAGGTATACTAACACCTGACTTTTTCAGGTCATTAACTCAAGGGTTCACATACTTTTTCCACTAGCACTATGAGGTTTTTATGGTTTATAAAAAAAATTTGTATTGTTATATTAGGCACATTATATTCATCAGTCCTCTCGACTTAGATGAAGATCAGATCACATCCATCCATCCATCCATCCATTTTTCTTCCACTTATCCGGTACCGGGTCGCGGGGGCAGCAGTCTAAGCAAAGATGCCCAGACTTCCCTCTCTCCAGACACTTCCTCCAGCTCCTCCAGGGGAATG